TTATCTAGCTTATATAAAGAACTCTTACAATTCAATAATAAAAGACAGCCCAATTAAAAATGGTGAACAGTTCTGAATAGACATTTATCCAGAGAAGATACATAAATGGTCAGTAAGCACATGGTAAGATGCTCAATGTCATTATCTACCAGGGAAGCACAAAATTATAATGAGATGCCACTTCACACCCATTAGGATGGCTATATCCAAGTCAGTTAATAACAAGAGTTGGCAAAAATGTGGAAAATCAAAACCCTCATACATTGCTGACGGGAATGTTAAATGGTCTAGTAACTTTGTAAAACAGCCTTTCAGTTCCTCAAATGGTTAATCATAGAGTTGACCCAGCAGTTCCACTTCTAAGTATATACAAGAGAAAAGAAAACATGTCCATGTTTTCGTAAGAAAACATGTCCATACATAAACTTCTATGTGAATTTTCATAGCAGCATTATTCATAGTAGTCAAAAAGTGACAACCAAATATCCGTCAACTGATACATGAATAAACAAATTGTTTTTGTTATTCCTCCATAAAAAGGAATGAAATACTGATAGTACAACATAGATGAACCTTGAAAGAACTATGGTAAGTGACAAAAGCCAGTCACAAAGTATGTATGATTCCCTTTATATGAAATGTCCAGAATAGGTGATACGGATAGAAAGTAGATTAGTGGTTGCCTAAGACTGCCAGGTTAGAGGGTTGGGGGGTGATAAAAAGTATTGGATTTCTTTCAGGGGTGATTAAAATGTTCCAAAGTTGATTGTGGTGATGGTAGCACCAGTCTGTGAATGCGTTAAAACAATGAGCAATACTACACACCTATTAAAATGGCTCAAATCTAAAACACCAAAAGCTGCTGATGATGTGGAGCAACAGGTACTTTCATTCATTGCTGGTGGGAATGCAAAATGGTACAGCCACTTTGGAAGGCAGTTTGGCAGTTTCTTACAAAAGTAAATATACTCTTAGCATATGATTCAGTAATTTTGATCCTTGGTATTTACCTGAATGAATTGAAAATGTATGTCCATGCAAAAACCTGCACATGGATGTTTATAGCAACTTTATTCATAATTGCCAAAACTTGGAAGCAACCAAGATGTCCTTCAGTAGATGAGCAGGTGAACTGTGGTACAGTGGAATATTATTCAGTGTGAAAAGGAAATGAGCTCTCAAGTCATGAAAAGTCATAGAGGAAACAGATGTGTATTATGAAGTGAAAGAAGCCAATCTGAAAAGACAATGTACTGTGTGATTCTAACTGTATGACTTTCTGGAAAAGGCAAAACTATCGAGACAGTGAAAAAGCTAAGTGGTTGCCAGGGGTTAGGAGGATAGGAGGAATGACTAAGCAAAGCAGAGAGGATTTTTAGGGCAGTGAAACTTCTCTGCGTTAAGATTGGTGGACACACATCATTATATGTTATCCTGATGTAAACTGTGGACTACGACTAATAAGGATGTGTCACTGTAAGTTCAGAGATGGTGTCAGAGGTACTGCTGTGGTGGGGGATGTCAGCAGTAGAGGAGGTTGTGCGTGAGGATGCAGGGAGTTTATGGGAACTCTGTACTTTCTGCTCAGTTTTGCTGTGAACCCAACATTGCTCTAAAAAGTAAGGTTTATTAATTTAAAAAAATGTCTGGGGCTTAGAACAATAAGTTGTAGAATGCAAACTGGTGGATGGGACAAGATTGCCTGCAGGTGTATGGTTGCTGGACTGAGTGGTGCATGAGGCTTATAATAATTTTTGATATCTGGGAGGCCACGTCCCCCCACTTCATTCAAAACTATCATGGGCTTTTAAAATTATTTACGGAAATTATGGAAAATTTTAAACATACACAAGATTATGCTAAATATTATAAATAATGCTATACTAGTCTAGACAATATAGTATTGGCATGAGAGTAGACAAATAGACCATATTTATAGCATAGAGGTTTCATAATCAGATCCACATATATGTGGAAATTTGATATATGACATAGATGACATTATAAAAATGGGAAGACTGGGGCAAGAGTTTAGAACAAGTGGAACATCTGTATAGAAAAAGTAGATTCCTAGCTCACACCTGAATGCTCCTGAACTATAATAGCTGATCTGTTGGTACTCTGGTATTGCAATTAATGAATGAGGTAGTTGCATGTATTAGCGATCTCAAAAACTGATGGATGTGAGGCAGTTGCAGAAGAATACCATGCTACGAGAGCCTTAAGGTTTAAAAACCTGTAACATAAAGGTCTAAAATATGCATGGTAATGATAACTCCAAATTCCTGATAGTTGTTACTCTGAAGAAAGTAGTGTATTTGTAATGTTTCATTTCTTAAGGTTAAAAAGAAATTGAAGCTGATGTAGCAATAATATTAAAAATTATTAAGCCAGGTGATAGGTAATAAGTGTCCATTACAGAATTCTTTATATTTGTTTCTGTGAAATATTTTATAAAGTATTAGTATCACCAAATGAAGTGTCTTGTTTGGATCCTAATTCAAACAAATCTTCAAGAAGACATTTTTGTGGCAATTGGGGAAATTTCACTAAGATTGAGTATTAGATTATATCAAACAATTATTAGTTAGGTGTGACAGTGGCACTGTGTATATGTAAGAAAATATCCATGTTTTCAGAGATGCATATGTAGTGCATTAGATACTGTAATACAGTTTCTGGGGCTTACTTTTAAAAAAGAATAGTTGAAATAAATGGCAAAATCATTATAATTGGTGATAGGTATGTGGAAGATTGTTGTAATATAATACTCTCAACTTTTGAGTTTGTAACAATCTTCATAATTACATATGCAAAAACAAAAAATAATTGTTCTTTAATAATAATTTGTACTATTGGCTACCATGTTTGAAATGCTTTGTTACAAAATTTTTTTTAAGTTCTGTTTGTTTCCTGGTTTAAATATACACATATACATATATTTAACATATATACTATATATCATGTGTAATAATAATGTATATTATGTCTTATGTAAAAATATTTATAAAGTGAGTCAGGAATAAAATTTGATCCACTCTTCCTCCAGGATCTCTATACTGCTTTTAACTGTGAGGAAACATGCCAAAATTCGTATTTAGGTTTATTATTTATTTGCAGTTTTTCTTTTCATAGTGACAGTGTGGTAGTGAATAGCTCTGGGTGATTTCCAAGAAGTCAAAAGTAGCAGGGATAATTAGCCTGAGGAGGTGTTAAGTATATAAACTTGAGCCTTGACAGAATTGTATTAGTTTCTCAGAAATTAATAAAGTATTCCAGAAATAATGCTTTGCCTTTTATTTCACATGTTATGAAATAGCACTTAGAATATAGAGTTGATACACACACACACTTTTGTGGTTTCACGTGTTTATGTCTTTACTCAGTTTCTGGGTCATTCCCAGTCACACACCTACCACTATTTATTAGATAGCCATCTTGCCTTCAGGATACTTTAGATAGTTACTTTCTGCAACTAATGCTTATAACTGTCTGGCTAGTGTTTCAAAATATTTTAATAGTGGGGACAAAATGATGTGAAACTGACGTTGAGAGTAAAGATTTCTTAAATGACTTCACTTAAAATTAGTATGACTAGGTTTTTTCCTGTTATTTGAACTACCAAATTGTTAATTCCTGTGATTGTTTTATAATGATGAATATCTTTACAACTTTTAAAAGTTCTTTCATTGATACTATCTATTTGACGTTTTTCAAGTACTTAGAAGTTTATACAGAAAAATATTGCCATTATTCTGGCTTGATGGCCTTGTGATTCCGTTAAAGTTACACAGCTGTTAGTAGTAGCGTTAGAACTTAAATTGTTTTCATGGCTGGTCGAGGTAGTTATTGTGCTCCGTAAAGGAAATTGATGACTTTGCAAAGATGAACAGTTCTTCTGCATAAATATTTTTTAAAAAGGAAGTTGAGGGCTTCCCTGGTGGCGCAGTGGTTGAGAGTCCGCCTGCCGCTGCAGGGGACACGGGTTCGTGCCCCGGTCCGGGAAGATCCCACATGCCGCGGAGTGGCTGGGCCCGTGAGCCATGGCTGCTGAGCCTGCGCGTCCGGAGCCTGTGCTCCGCAACGGGAGAGGCCTGCGTACCGCAAAAAAAAAAAAAAAAAAAAAAAAAAAAAAGGAAGTTGAGACAAACAACAGCAGACTGGGAGCAGTTTTGTAAGATAAAATAGTATTACTATCCAGTATGTATAAAATATTCTCCCAAATTAGAAGAAAAACAATTCATCGGAAATCACAGGTAAAAGATATCACCAAAGAGGAAATACTGGTCGCTAATAAATGTATGAAAAGATACTCAACCTCTCTATTAATAGGGAAATATAGATTTAAAAACTCAGCATTTTCTACCCATGATGTTGGCAAGGACTTAAAAAAATGGAAAATAGTGACTGTTGGTAAGGGTGTGAGAAAACAGACACACCCCTATATACTGTTGGTAGGTTCATCTTTTTTGGAAGTCAATTTGGCTGAACAGATATCCTACTTAGGCTTAAATCATGTAGTAGGCACATCAAATCAATTTAATATTTAAGAGGTGGTAAAGGGGTGCCGAGAAATTAATCCCAACTTTAAAAAAGCCTAGACCTAGTTATCTGCCATGCACTCTGGCTTTCTTTCCTCTTTTATTAACCATTTCTTGAATTGTGTTTCAATAACTTGTTTTATCATTAAAACAGCTTTCTGAGGTGGGTATTTTTATTCTAATTTTGTAGATGTGGAAACTGAGGCCAGAGAGGTTAAATAAGTTAGCCAGTGGGTGAAAGAGCCTAAATTTAGTTCTAAAACTATATGGCCTTAATCACTCTTTGGTTAGATAGTTAATAATTGATTCGTGATATCCAGCATACCTTAAATCTTACCTTTATTAAAATGATTTTCTAAGTTAACATGTACAAATGTAATGCTTAATTTTTTCATTAGAATGTCAGCCTGATAAAGGTGAACTTTTCATTAATGGAAAGTCTTTTACTTTTTTTCCTAGAGGATCTGAAGAGGCAAAATGCAGTTTTACAAGCTGCACAAGATGATTTGGGACATCTTCGGACACAGCTGTGGGAAGCCCAAGCAGAGATGGAAAATATCAAGGCCATTGCCACGGTGTCTGAGAATACCAAGCAAGAAGCTATAGATGAAGTGAAACGACAGTGGAGAGAAGAAGTTGCTTCACTTCAGGCTGTTATGAAAGGTAAAGATAAAGACAGATCTATTTTAAGATTTTCTAAGGTAACTGATTCTGATGATTGAGAACATTTTCAGAAGGTCTTAAAATATGTCCTGAGTTTCATTTATGTTTCATTTGTGGCTTTATGTATTACCATCTTCAAGATGTACTGTCATATTCAAAATAAAAGGGAAGCCAAGGGGTATATCATCTGTATCTTTAACAAATTTAATAATGGAGAATTATGTTGAGAGTGTTACAGAGGTACTGCATTAAATGAAAACTATAGTTCATTATAAGGTTTAAAGCAGGGCTTCATAATGGATTTTCTTATAGGAGAGGCAGGCCAGTAATGTCAATGAATGAAGCTGTGTGGGCACAGGAAGTGTGCTGAACTGGAGAGACCTCCCATGCAAAGAGTGAAGTTACTATTTACACTTATTAGTTCCAGCTAATTATTGCCCATCCAGGCCAGTGTTGCCATAATTTTACATTGTAAAGAAAAATTTGGATTTTTATGTGAAATCTTCACTCAGTCTTATGAGGTAGAGTGGCCTGTGGGTTAAAATAGGCTTTATGAGCTACCAGCTGGTGACCCTTGGTCCAAAGGAAGAGTAGTAGTTTAGTCTCTATCAACTTTTAGCACTAGTGCTTATTAATTCCTGCATTTCTGAAAAAATGATAATGAAATAAGCTGCCGCCTGAATCTTTGGGTTCCCAGAATTAGTTTTGTTAATAATATAAATGTGAAATAGTGATGACTTTTTTTCCCGTCTTGGCAGTTATGTGTCACTTTTGCCTTAGTACTCTGTGAGAAGGCAGGTAAGACAAGCACTGTTTTCTGAGTTTGTGGCTATCACCTAGGGATTACTCTAAGCCTCATGTTACATTCCTGACCATAACAGCTTACCCAAATAAGAGTTCGTTTTTTTCACATGAGAAATCCAGAGGTAGGTAACCTAGGGCTGGGTACAGTGGTTCCTGATGTCATCACTGTCCTAGGCTCCTTCAGCTTTTCTTTTCCTTCACCCTTAGCATGTGGTTTTCAACTTCATTTTGCCTTGCCTGAAAAAAATGACTGCTCTTCCTCCAGTCCGCCTGAGTAAAGCAAAAACTTTCTAGAAATCTCCAGCATATTTCCCCCCGCCCCAGTCCCCCCCCCCCCACACTTTATAGAGGTTTCTGATTACACATTACTACCAAGGCATCTAGAAACTCTAGTTTTAAAATTGGGCCGTTGACTTCCTCAACAAAATTGGGGTTTTGTTAGTAAGAAAGAAGGAGTGGAAGTTAATGGACAACCCAACAGTGTTTATCACATGTTTTAAGATTGTATTAAAGATAAAGTCATTTTATAAAGACTTTATAGAATTTGTCTCAAGTTAGAATCTTGGGTTATAGTAAAAACATTCTGAAAATATATCCCTTTTCTCACCCTTTCAGGTATATAGTTGTATTGGGGTGACACGTTATATTTGTCTTAGGAGTCATAGTGTTGTATCTAAGAACATAGGGTTTAGAGTTGGCCTTAGGTTTGAATTCTAGCTGTTTCTTTCTGGTTATGAAATATTGGCCAGAGTATTTAACCTCTCCTAAGCTTTCCTCATCTGTAAAATAATATGTGGCACAGGTTTATTGTGAAGATTAGAGATGATTTAAGGTCCTTAGCAAAATCTCTACGTGTAGTAAGAACTAGAAATGTTAGTTTAGTGCTTTTGTTTATGTTTTTAGTGAATTAAAAGATTTCCAGAAGCTAGGCTTACATTCTTCATATAACTACTTTTAAAATTTTAGTGTGCCAGGACATTTTTTCCAGAATGCTTAGAAATATTTGGTGATGTTTTGTAGAAACAGTTCGTGACTATGAGCATCAGTTCCACCTTAGGCTGGAGCAGGAGCGGACACAGTGGGCACAGTATCGAGAATCCGCAGAGAGAGAAATAGCTGATTTAAGGAGAAGGCTGTCTGAAGGTCAAGAGGAGGAAAATTTAGAAAATGAAATGAAAAAGGTATGAAGGAATGTATTCATCTGTAGAAATATTTCAATCCAAATATTTTTGTTGTAATGCTTCAACTAATATCATTATGGTAATAGAAGTTGTACTTTTTGTTTTCTGTTAGAGAAATTATTTGGACACAGACTTAAATATAGTACTAAACAATTTGATGACCTTCCCCCAGATACATGTTTGGCTGAGTCCCTCATCTTCAAATCTTTGACCAATTGCCTCCACCTCATGAGGCCTATCCTGACCACCCCATTTAACATTGCAACCTGCCCACCTCCCTCCCCCACCTACCACAACTTGCTCTTATCCTGTTCTAATTTTTCTTTTTCCATAACATTTATTTCCTTATAATGTACATAGAGTTCACCTATTTATTATGTTTAGTACTGTTTGCTGCCTTTTCCTCCTCACTAGAATGCAAGCTTCACGAGGGCAGAAGTCTTGTTTGTTGTGTATCCTAAATGCTTAGAGTAGTGTCTCGCACATAGGTGCTTAGTAAATATGTGTTGAATGAGTGTTGTTGCTAGGTGTTTGTGTCTAAACTGAAGCCTGAGAACAGATTTTAGTTTTCCTTCTTTCTCAGTATTCCTTGGTTCCTGTGACGAATGTACTGCATATTATGCTTGAACATTTTACTGTAAGATGCCTGACCATAGAACAACTAAATATAAGGTGAAATATTTTATCATTGAGAAAATTTAAAAAGCTATTTGGCCAGTTTGATTATGTAAGCTTTTACTTTATTTTTTTATTTTAATTTAAAAAATTTTTATTGGAGTATAGTTGATTTACAATGTTATGTTAGTTTTAGGTGTACAGCAAAGTGAATCAGTTATACATATACATATATCCACTCTTTTTTCTTTTCTTTTTTAAGATTCTTTCCCCACGTAGGCCATTACAGAAACTTTTTTTTTTTTTTTTGGCGGTACTTGGGCCTCTCACTGTTGTGGCCTCTCCCGTGGTGGAGCACAGGCTCCGGACGCGCAGGCTCAGCGGCCATGGCTCACGGGCCTAGCCGCTCTGCGGCATGTGGGATCTTCCCGGACCGGGGCACGAACCCGTGTCCCCTGCATCGGCAGGCGAACTCTCAACCTCTGCGCCACCAGGGAAGCCCCAGAAACTTTTAATTTATTAATTTATATACATACATATATTTGAAATCACATATAAAATAATAATTAGAATTTGATTTTTCTTTTCAGTTGAATTAGTCATAATCTTGGTTCATACAAGGACTACTTTTATATATTTAGAAGTTTATTTAATTTTTTTTTATAGTGTAAAAATCATATGAGAACTCAACACCCAAAACAAAAGCTTGAACCTTGAGGAATAGTTAGTTACATTGTCTTATTTCAGGAAAAGATTGTAATTCAGCTTCTTCATGGGGATCTGACAATGTCTTCATTAGGATCTGACAGTGTCTTCATGATCACTAGTCACTTAGTCATCTACCATAGTTAGCCAAAGTAGGTAGCCTTCAATTCTGTCAGGTCGTTTCAGAGTAATTCATAGTTCATGCTATCATTAGACATTTTATTCAGAGCTACAGTACCATTCACATGAGGATAGTTTTTTTTTTCATTCTTATATATTCAGTCATAATTTCTGCAGTCTGCCACTTTTTATCCTTTTTAAAATTTTTATTTTTTAAAGTTAACTTTATTTTTTAGAACAGTTTTTGATTTACAGAAAAATTGTGAAGATACTACAGAGTTCCCATATACTCCACTCCCAGTTTCCCCTATTAATGTCTTAATGTTAGTATGGTACATTTGTCACAATTAATAAGTCAGTATTGATTATTGTTAACTAAAGTCCTTTCTTTGTATTCAGATCTCATTAGTGTTTACCCAAGTCCTTTTTTCTGTTCCAAAATCCCATCCAGGATACCACATTACATTTAGTCATGTCTCTTAGGCTTCTCCTGGCTGTGATAGTGTCTCAGCTTTTCCTTGTTTTTAATGACCTTTCTGTTATTTAAAAAAATCATCTTTAAAAGTTTTGTTATGATATGCATCACTTGGAATTGTGAGGTCATCGTTGCATTAATAAATAACTCAATCTGTATTAAATTCTTTGCTTCTTCTCTCCTTTTTTTTCCCTGATGATCTTAATCAGCAGACCTCTATACGCGTCCCAAATTAGCCTTGGCTGAAGATATTTTAAGCTCACATGTCTTTTCCAAACAGGACTTAGTTCAAAATAAAATAAATGATGAAATGACTTTGCAAGCACTGGAAAACAAAGTGCGTCTCTCTTTTCTGAGAGATATCATTTTTTTTTTTAAATCTCCGCTCACATTTTGGCATAGAAAATATTTTCCCTATCATGAACACTTTAGGAGAAGCTTGGACTGTTTTAAATTCAGTGAATATTTCATTTTCACTAGAAGGAAAAAAGCTAACTTTTTGAGTCTGCCTTTGTTTCTGTGTGAATATACGTGTGTGTATATAAAATAAAATTAAGTTTCTTACCAACTTACTGGTTTATGGATGTTGTTTGCTTTTAATCCATGTTTTTGAGAATGAAGGATGGAAAGCAGCATGGTTTTAAGGGTTATTTTTTGGGTTTGTTTCATGTAGATATCAAAAGTAAAATGATAAATACCCTGTTTAAATAATTAGATGGAAGCCCTTTTATAGAAACATAATTTTCTAATATTTTAGGAAATAAATGTTCTGTTTTTTATGTTAAAAAATTAGTCCTGGGCCTCCCTGGTGGCACAGTGGTTGAGAGTCCGCCTGCCGATGCAGGGGATACGGGTTCGTGCCCCGGTCCGGGAGGATCCCACGTGCCGCGGAGCGGCTGGGCCCGGGAGAGGCCACGACAGTGAGAGGCCCACGTATCGCAAAAAAAAAAAAAAAAATTAGTCCTTTCAGTATTTGTAAGAGATTATGGTTTCATTAATTTAGTAACTAGAATTACAAAAATTATTTATTATATGCATTTCCTTTTATATATAGATATTTTCCAACTCAGTTACTCAGCTAATTAAAAAGTCAAATTTGTGGCTGCTTTCACTTTCTGAAACAGACTGCATTCTGTCTGTGGAATGTGTATCTCTCTAAATAAACCTGCTTTCACTTAAAAAAAAAAAGTCAAATTTGTCTTAGTGGATCCATTTTCCTACTTATTCCCAAGTTCTAAACGGAATATTTGGTAAAGCTGTGATTATGACTTGACATTCAAAGTAATGCAGCATTTAAAAGTTAGACGTGGTTCAATTTTGTGAGTGCTAATACAGTGCCTGCTAGACTTATTATACTAATTTTAATAAGTGGAGAGGTCAGAGTTTTTTAGAAAAGCAATAAATCAGTAAGTTGTAGCATTTAATTCTTTTTAACCATAGGCCCAAGAGGATGCTGAAAAACTTCGGTCTGTTGTGATGCCTATGGAGAAGGAAATTGCAGCTTTGAAAGATAAACTGACAGAGGCTGAAGACAAGATTAAAGAGCTGGAGGCCTCAAAGGTTGTGAGACATTGTAATCCATTTGCTTGAAACCAAGGTTTTGCCCTAATGCTATGAGCAAAATTAGAATACTAAGGGGGTAAACTGTAATTTAAACTATGCATCTAAGACTCTTGCTTTCTTGAAAATGCAAGAAGATGTTTGGAGATTTCTCCTTATGGATATTTAAAATAATGACAGTAGTGATGCTTGTGCTGCTTTGTTACAAAGTCAGTGTTTATTTTCTTATCAAAATGAGACCTGATCTCTCTTGTTTTGTTATGAAGGAAAATAAAGTTTTCAAAGGTGACTTTGTTTTCTGACATCAGCCCCAGAATTGATCTTTTAGAAATGACATAGCTATAGTGTGGCTGGATTTGTTGGCTATAAAGACGCAACAGAAAAAATACAAGGGGATGTCAAACATTTTAATAATTAAAGTAGGAAAGAAAGAAAAAGAATTTAGAGGTAGTAAACAGAAGCACAACATAGGAATGTAGAAATACATATAGAAGTGTAGAAATGGGCATGTATCAATAATCTTAGTAAGTCATACTTAGTAAGTTTACCTACTAAAAGAGACTAGATTTCAAAAATCTAAATTTATATTGCTTATAAGACGTATACCTAAAATAAAACGACAAAGTAGGATTGGAAAAAAAAGAGACTTAAAGCAATGCCTTGTAAATTCTAATCAAAAGAAACTTGGTTTAGCAATTGTAATATGAAACAGGGTGAAAGGAAAAAAGAATTAATAGAGATAAAGGGGGACCCCTTCTAATTTATAATTCATCAATAAGATATGACAGTCATGCACTTGAATGCATCTTACATAGCCTTAAAATATGTGAACTAAAAAGTGACAATTATGAGGGGAAATTGACATTCACAGTTATAGTAGGAGATTTAAACTGTCCTTTAGCAAATGATAGTGCAAGCAGAAAAAAAAATTAGTAGGGATATAGGGGTTTTGAGCAACTTGTTTAATAATTTAGATGTACTAGACATAGAATCCTGTCACTAAGAGAGTGAGAGACTATATTTCATACAGTAGTAGAGCATAGTAGTTAAGAGCTCAACATTTATTAGATGGATGACCTTGGGCAAATTAATTAATCTTACTGTGCTTTGGTTTGCCCAACCATAAAATGGGGATAATACTACCTCCTTCATAAGGCTGTTATGAGGATTATATAAGTTAACACATAAGGCACTTAGGATATTGCATGGAATAAATATTGTTATATTTAGGTACGTTATAGTTTTCATAATGTCACAAAGGAAATGTCATCAGATTTTGAAGATTTGATGTTATACACATCCAAATCTCTGACCACAGGTTATTAAATTATTTACAATAAAATATAGCTGAGATGAAATGTCTGGAAAATGAAAAAAAATTAACTCATATGGAAAAAAGAATTGTAAAATATTTAGAGTGATTGGAATTTTTTACTCAAGAATCTAAAAATAGAACAATAGTACAAACAGTGTGAATGGAAGGAAATAATGCAGGTAAGAGCAGAAATTAGTGAAATAGAAAAGCAAAAGGAAAATTGTGAATATAATGAAAAAATGAAAAAAGTAGTAAGATAGGCAAACCTGATAAGACTAATTTAGGAAAAAAGAAAAAAGACTTAAACCATTATAAATGAAAGAGGGAAATAACTACAAATCAGTAGAGACTTAAAAATAATAAATACTATGGACAATGGCACAGCAATAAGTTTGAAATGAAGTAAGTTTGATGAAATGAAAAAATTTCTGATAGGAAATAATTAGCCAATATTGTCTCAAGATAAAATAGGAGAGCCAATGTAGTTAGTAACTATTAAAGAAAGTGAATTTATAGTCAGAATCTCCTTTTCTCCTGTCTCCTATCCTCCAAAAGACATTAGACTCAATTAGTTTTGCAGACAGGTTTTTCCAAAGCTCTTGGAAAGAGGTAATCCTTATATTTTACAAACTGTGTTAGAGAACAGAAAAAGAGGGAAAGCTCTCCAACTCATTTTATGAGACATAACTTCATTACAAACAGACTCACAAAAAGGTATTAATTGTAGATCTATCTCATTTAGGAATACAGAAACAAAAATTTTCAGCTGTGTAGTTAAAAAAAAAGGAAAAGAAAAAGCAAAAAAGACATCACGATCAAAAAGGGATATTCCCAGGAATTTAGGATGGTATATCACCAGAAAACCTATTATTTTTATGTACCACATAAAAAGATTATAGGAGAAGAGTAATAAATTCATCTTAGATTCAGAAAGGCATTTGATAAATTTAAACACCCAATAACTTATTAAAGGGCTATTTATCAAACCTTCAGCAAACAACACACTTAATGATGAATGTTTAGCAGCCTTACCATTAATGATGGGAACATATGAGGAGGCCCATGCTCAGTGATTTTGCTCAGATTGTTTATGTGGTCCTAGGTGATAAGATAAGCCAAGGTAAAGAAATGAGGCATAATAACTGGAAAGAAAGCAGTGAAACTGATTTTCTGTATAGGAAAGCAAGAGAATATTCAGACATACAATTAGACCTAATAAGAGTTCAAGAAAGTTGTTTCCAGCAAGATCAACATGCAAAAATAGTAGTGTTTGTGTACCACAGTAATATCCAGCTTACAAATGCAATGGGGAAAAATTCCTGTTCACACTAGCAAACAAACAAACAATACCTATATTAGTTACCTGAGAATATATCTAAATAAAAATGAGTAAGATCTTTATGGAACACATTATAAAAATGTGAATACATGTGTGCTCCTGAGTGAGAAAATACTGTATTGTAAAGCAGGCAGTATATCCCCAAATTAATCTGTAAATTCAAAATTCCCCTCAAAATCCAGCAGGGTTTAATAAGGAACTCGATAAGTAGATCCTAGAATTCATATGGACAAGCAAAAGATCAGAAATACACCCAGCAAAATTTTTTAAAATTAATTAATTAAACTTATTTTTGGCTGTGTTGGGTCTTCATTGCTGCACGCGGGCTTTCTCTAGTTGCAGCGAGCGGGGGCTACTCCTCGTTGCAGTGCACAGGCTTGCTCATTGCGGTGGCTTCTTTTGTTGTGGAGCACAGGCTCTAGGAGCGTGGGCTTCAGTAGTTGTGGCACGCAGGCTCAGTAGTTGTGGCTTGTGGGCTCTAGAGCGCAGGCTCAGTAGTTGTGGCGCACAGGCTTAGTTGCTCTGTGGCATGTGGGATTTTCCCAGACCAGGGCTCAAAACCATGTCCCCTGCATTGGCAGGCAGATTCTTAACCATTGCACCACCAGGGAAGCTCCGACACCCAGCAAAATTTTGAAGAAGGCAAGGTATGGAGACTTGCCCTACCTACCAGTATTAAGACTTAACAGTAGCTTTACTGTTACTGTAGCTACTGTAATTAAGACAGTTTGTTGCTGGTTTAAAGATAAACAAATGGACCAGTGGAACAGAATAGAGAGCCCAGAAATATATCCATATATATATGGAAATTTGATATTTGACAGGTGGCATTACAAGTCAGTGGGAAAAGTATGGATTATTTAAAAATAGGCTTTTCAAATAGTTATAAATATGGATTAAAGTGAGGTTAGCTTTCTACCTTACACTTTTCAAAAATTAATTTCAATGAAATGTTTAAAAAGGAGAATATGTTATGTGAGATACAAAAACATTTCTTTTTTTTTTTTTTTTTTTAAATAATACACAATGTATTTATTTATTTATTTATTTATGGCTGTGTTGGGTCTTCATTTCTGTGCATGGGCTTTCTCTAGTTGTGGCAAGTGGGGGTCACTCTTCATCGCGGTGCGCAGGCCTCTCACTATCGCGGCCTCTGTTGTTGCGGAGCACAGGCTCCAGACGCGCAGGCTCAGTAATTGTGGCTCACGGGCCCAGTTGCTCCATGGCATGTGGGATTTTCCCAGACCAGGGCTCGAACCCGTGTTGTCTGCATTGGCAGGCAGATTCTCAACCACTGCGCCACCAGGGAAGCCCCCAAAAACATTTCTTAAATAATGTAAAAATACTATGAAAGAAGAGATTGACAAATTTGCCTACATTAGAATATAAAACTTCCTTATTAAAAGATACCACAAAAAGTTGAAAAGAGAATTATAGACTGTTAAAAGTTATCTATACCTGACAAAAAATTAGTGTCCAACATTAATAAAAATTGCCATGTCCGTAAGTGACAAATGGCCCAACAGAGAAACAAGCAAAGAATATGAACAAGCAGTTCACAAAAGAGCAAGTAAAGGAATGTGAAAAGATATTCAGTCTCACTAGAAATCAAGGAAATGTAAGTGAAAATCAAATGCCGTTTTATTCTAACCAGATTGTAAGTCTTACAACATAAATTTGTTGTGTTTATCCACGATTGGAGTGTGTGAAACTCTTCCCACTTTTCAGCTGCTGTTGTGAAGTTGGAATCCCTGTTGAATATTTTGGGAGTTCTCCGGCCCTTGTTACTTCCCTTTACTTTCTCCTGCACAGATGCTGATACCATGTAATTCCATATAGATAGCTTTCAGTGGTTTGTCCCCACCCTCTAATTATCGCTTTTTTTTCTTTTTGGTAGATGTTCATGTATTCTGAGTTCTGTTATCTTATTAGTTCTGTTGTTAGGGTGTGTGGAATTCAAGAAAATCTGTGTACCACACATTCACTGTCACCATCTTCCCAGAGATCTGCTCAGTAGCTTTTGAATGTTAGAAATTAATTCATTATTTATAGAGTCAAATATTTATTCTAAGAAGTAATAGCTGATAGAGTTAGTGGTTATATACTAGCATTTTATATCTGACATATTGACTTTCCTTTATCATTAACTGAATTACCACCTCTCCAGGTGATAGGGAAAGTGCCTGACAACAGTCAGCACTTTGTCATGCTTGGTTAGTGTATAGTACGTTTCTGGTTGGCTGACAGCCTCCAGTGAAGCATCAAATGGCAGCTTAAATAATCATTTTAGTCCATGACCAGTGCTAATGTATTGTATTAATGGTCTAGGAGTAAAGATAACTGAAAACAGATCAGTCAGCTATTTTAAGTTGAAGAAATGGGAAAATAAAAGGCATAAATATAACCTTGAAAGTGAAATTAGACATAACCATTTGAAAAAGTTGAAAGTTAGTTTAAATGGCCACAATTTAGGATGGGCAATTTGTAAGGAAGGGTAGAGCAAGTGATTCTTTAATCACTTTCTGGGGCAAGATTGCATTTTATTTTGGTTAGAACTATTTCAGATATTAGACTACATTGTTAATATTTGAAAATTATAGTTAATTGTTCAACAGAAATAAGACATTTAAAAAAAAAGATGTGATTTTAAAAAGTACTGCACTTGGCTTCAAGTTTATGTTCATTACAGTATGAGACAGGTTGTTTTTTCCATCATGGCTTCCTCTTTTTTCCTTCCATGAATTTATGTCTATGAAAATGTCTCCTTTTTGTAAATTTAAGGCATTTGGAATTACCTCACCAGAAATCAAAGAAAAGCAAACTTGAAAGAGTATGATACCATTTTTATCTTTAGAAAATACTGTTTAAAAAACAACAAAAATAAGGGGCTTCCCTGGTGGTGCAGTGCTTGAGAGTCCGCCTGCCGATGCAGGGGACACAGGTTCGTGCCCCGGTCCAGGAAGATCCCACATGCCGCGGAGCGGCTGGGCCCATGAGCCATGGCTGCTGAGCCTGTGCATCCGGAGCCTGTGCTCCGCAACAGGAGAGGCCACAACAGTGAGAGGCCCGTGTACCGCAGAAAGAAAGAAAGAAACAAACAAAAATCAAAAATAAAAAACAACAACCACCTGGGCTCACTGAGTATGTGATAAAATGAGCACATGTGTATGTTGCTCTGGGAATACAAATTGGAACCACGTTTTTAAAAGCAAGGTACAAAACTGTTATGTGTAATCTCAGTTGTATATTTACTCTGGTGATGATTATGGATAATGCTTACTATTAATTATTGTCAATTATGTTATTTTCCCAGTTTTCTTTAGTAAGTATATGTTTGTTTTGTAATTAAAAATTATGTTAATTTGGGGGTAAATTTAAATTTACATAAATATAAATGTAAACTTTTTTCAAGGCACCTCCAGAACTTACCATTATACCTAAGGTAGACACTGTTGGAAATTTTAGTTTAATCGAATTGCATCTTTTTCAGGTTAAAGAACTGAATCATTATCTGGAAGCTGAGAAGTCTTGTAGGACTGATCTGGAGATGTACGTGGCTGTTTTGAATACTCAGAAATCTGTTTTACAGGAAGATGCTGAGAAACTTCGGAAAGAATTGCATGAAGGTAAATATATATTCTTTATATTTTTAATCTCAGTCTGTAAGAGAACTATGTAAGTAAAAGTGATATTGATTAATAACAGTAACAAATTCCAAAATGCCAATCCAACATGTTAGTGATTCAGTTTAAGCTTTGCAGTTGGTTTGAAAAGATATTTGGATTGTTAATGGTTTCTGTTTCCTCCAGGACCCCAGTAAGAATTCATAGGGCACAAACTCTGGGCAGAAAGATAATAGGAAGTTGCTGCTTAAACTGCTTTTTCTTCAGACCTATTTTGGTGGAGGTGAATTAGCAAAAGTGAAAATGGGACAGAGAAGGCAGATGGTATATTCTAGTGCTCTTAAGTAGCACCCCTGTTTATAAGAGATAATTTTGATTTCGCTAGTCTGGTAGCAGAGTGATGCAGAAACTGCCTGTTTTCTCAGGATAGGGGAAATAGGCTCATCCTTTCCCATTAAAGTATATGTTTGTCTTTCATTCTTTTAGTGAATCTTGTATACCTGAGATTCGTAACCTTTTTGTGTCACAGACTCGTTTGCCAGTCTTGTGAAGCCCTCTCAGAATAATGTTTTTAATACATAAAATACATAGAATTATAAAAGAAATCAATTATATTATAAAACAGTTATCAAAATATAAATAACTGCAAACTTATAGTAATAAATGTGCTATTTTATCAATGCATTAAATAACAAGGTCTAGTACCAGGTCTAACAACTACTGTAATTTTGAAGTATGATGAGCGTAAATAATATATTAAGATATCTGCAACAACTGTACTGAGATATAAAAGTATCTATGACTCCTGTTAGTGACCAAGTCATGGGTATTGTTATACTTACTGTGGTTTGTTGTCTATATTTTATAATTGAAGGAAATGATAATTTCAGTTAGAGGTTAGTGAAAATAAAGATCTAAATTTTTACCTCATCTAAATGCATGGACCTCTTGAAATCTTATATTCGTTGCAGGTTATACTAGTAACATGTTTTAATATGAAAATTTAGGACTGTGGTCATGGAAAATATAGCTCTTCCATAAATAATTCAGGTTGGCATAGGAGTTAGGTTTTTATCCCAAATAGTGGGAAGTTGAAATTATATAAGCCTACAGAATTATTTTATAAAATGTTATTAAAGTAATCCAGTGTTTGAGTCTTTGGCTGTCAGGAAATGCTTTTCAAAAGTGCTGTTGCAGTCAAAAAGACACTCAAACTCTGAAAGGATGTCCAGAAGAAAAAGGACTTTCTGTTTAACCTATGTGTCCCAACCCTTCCAGAAATAGTGCAAGACTACCAGACCTTCCTAATATACCTGGAGAAGTATCTGAGAAGTTTCATTAGAATAAGTAAGGGGGTAGAGTAATTTATACTGAAACATTCACACCAAACAAGGAGTATTTACGTGAAAAGAAGATAGTTAAAAATTGAGCAGCAGTGTAAATTAGAGCCTAAATTGGGGAAATTAGATATGCAACCAAGTGCAGTGCAGTTTCATATCATATGTGCTAGGAAGTGTGTTAGGAGGCAACGGTGCCATGAATAGGCTTCTTAAAAGAGGTTGTTAAGTGGAGTTTTGAAAAATAGGTCGGTGTTTGTCAGGTCATCAGAGAGGAGCATGGCATTCAAGGCCATTTGCATGTGGTGCAACAAGGTAACGAAACTGTAAGAAATATAGTTCAGCAAGATTAAAATGCAAGAGGCATTGGAGCAAAATGTGAGACAGGAGAGGTAGACATGGGCCAGATCCTGGAGACCTTATGCTAAGGACTCTGGATTTTATCGTATTGGTAATAAGGAGGCTCTGAAGGATTTAGAAAATTTTTTTGTCCTAACTAACAGCTTTACCGAGATAAGGTACCTGTTCAATGATGTTTAATATATTCACAAAGTCGTACACCATCAGCACTACCTACCTCCAGAACATTTTCATTACTCCAAAAAGAAATTTTGTACCCATTCCCCGTCATTCCCTATTCTCTTCTTCCCCCCAGCCCCTGGCTACCACTAATCTACTTTCTGTCTCTATAGATTTGCCTATTCTGGACTTCTGTATAAATGGGATTATATAGTATGTGGCCTTTTGTGTCGGGCTTCTCTGAAGGGTTTTAAGCTTGAGAGTGGTAATGTTTTACCTTCTAGAGAGTTCAGTTTTACAGCAGTGTGGAGGATAGAATACAGAGGGCCAGACGAATGGCAGGGAGGGTTATGAAGAGACTCCTGTTGTAGTTGTCTGAGTCCTAAATCTAAGGCAGAAGGCAGAAGATGGAGTGTCATATCACACAGGAAGTAGCATTAGTAGGCCTCTGTCACAGTTGAATGTGTTGGGTGAGGAAAAGTCAGAAGTATGAGTTGTCTGTCAGGTTTCTGGCTTGGGTAACTGGGCTGATAGATGATACCATCTATTCTTTTTTTCCCAAAGAAGATGGCTGAGCTGATGAATATCAGTAACACAAGCATTTACAAAGATTCTTTGACTTATCCTGAGAGGTCAAAACTAAATGGACTCAAGAAGGATTCCTGGATAACAAGATTTATTCAGAGTGTATTAAAGACAATTAGGAGTGGTTTCTATGTGTTTTCCCTTTAGAGCAATGTTTCCCAAATTGTATTCCCTACAACATTTGTTACGTGAGTGGCACTGTGGAAAGGATTTTTTTGTCAAATAAATTTGGGAGGTATTATATTATATATCATCTTACAAGAGAACATAGACATACTTAAGACCCTGAGTTCAAAGTCCTGCAGTAAAGAAATCTTTAAAAAAAAGTTTTTAATCCAAGGTTTCTGAAACTCACCTAGCACAGAAATCTTTTTTTCACACATTGCTCTTCCTAGGAACACACTTCGGGAGACTCTGCTTAGACAGGTGGTGTGGGGACAGCTGCCTTGTCCTATGGCAGGTTGCCCCTGGGTTCTTGTCAGAGGCAGAATCCAGACCGGATGGACCTTTGGTCAGGTCTAGTCTAGTTAGTCCTATGTTAAAGAAATTGCCTACCATTAAAATCCAGTGTTTTTGATTCGGGGATTCCTAAACAGTATGCCATCTCTTGGAGCAAGAGCGACAGCAGCACAACCAGTTGAAACACACGTGGCAGAAGGCCAATGACCAGTTCCTGGAATCTCAGCGTTTGCTAATGAGGGACATGCAGCGAATGGAAATTGTGCTAACTTCAGAACAGCTCCGACAAGTTGAAGAACTGAAGAAGAAAGATCAGGTGAATACCAGTTTCATAGGACTTGTTTGCCTTGTTAATAAACCACTCCACCCCGACACATGATCATCCTTTATGTATATTATAGATTGACTTAAGCCTGAAACAAAGTTGATGTATGCCATTTCAAAAAACATAATAGCTACATTTGAGGGATTTTGTTTTTCAACTTCAGAAATGGCCTTGTCTGGGGGGAAGGGGAAGAACTGATTTAGAAATGATTCTCTTCAGTCTGCAGGATGCAGTAGTGCATATTTCTGAGAAAATCTTTCTCTGCAGTTCTGTCCACTTCTCCTAGGGCTCCTGAATTGTGTTAATCCAGGCCATGTCTTTTGTGACATTGCTCTAAAAGCCTTGTTAGACAGTGATGGGTGGGGTTGGAGAGGCTGAGTGATATGAAAAGGCAGGTGTCCAGAGGGCTGCATACCCAGGGTCCTGCTTTCTCCTTATCTTAAAAAACAATTATTTAAGTTATATGAGTAATACATAAATACATTCTCATGTTAAAATATTTTGGTTTAAATACAAAGTGAAAAAAAAAAGTGATAAAGTGAAAATCTCCCTTGACATCTCACATACTTCCTTCGCAGAAATAACCACTTTTGTAATCAGGAATAATCAGTTTGGAAGGTAGTATTCCACACCACTTCTATGTGTTTTAAGTGTATATTCAGTTTTCTTTTTTTTTTTTCCCCCATACAACTGAAATCATAGTATAAGTATTTATTCTGTAGCTTATTTTTCTCATAAGCATCATCTTCGATATATTTTCACTTTAGAGATCTGTCTCATTCTGTTAGCTGGTAACATGGATGTACTATATTTGATTTAATCCTTCTCTTTGTAGTGGGCATCTAGATGGCTTTTTTTGTGTGTCATTTCAAGTAGTTTTGCAGCTAATATCCTATACTATGTTGTGTATGTGTGCAAATATTTCCCTAGGATAGCTGTGTAGAAGCTTTTGTAGGTACTATAAGAAATATTTTAAATTATCTTGTGTAACTTAGGTTAGATTTTGTTTTTCAGAAGTTTCTTCCTTTTTAAATTTCTTTTCTCTTAATTGATTCATTCATCTTGTGTGTAGACAGTCAACTTGAGGATTTAGATTCTAAAGTACAGATACAATCATGCTTTTCCTGCTTCCCGTTAGAATAGTCTAAATTCCAGAACTGGTCATTTAAGGCCTGTGCACCAGGCTTTAAATGTAAAGCTTTATCTCATGTGGTTCTCAAAACAGAAAAACACACAACAAAAGTTCCCATATGAGATAGGGACTAATGGCCTATCTGAGGGTTGACTAATCTCTGATTCCAGAGTCTAAGCACTTAATCACCACCCCCTTCTCCGTGTACTTCACTACTCATGTGCCTGCCCTCTTTTTAGTCACATGAGATTATTCAGTATTCCCCACATGCCTGCTCTTCCGTGCCCCTCTCCCTTTTACATACTTTTTTTCTCCCTGGAACCCTTGCTTGTCTCCTCTCACACAATTGGCAAACTCATCTTACTGATTCTTCAAGATCCAGCTCAAGTGTTACCTTTGGGCCCCCCTTTCTAGCTCCCTCAGATGAAATCTTTGTTTTCTCTCCTGTGGAACTTTGTACATACTTATATAGTGATGTAATCGTGTATTTGTCCCTCCCCACTAGAGTGTTTTATGCGGGGGGGCATTGAAGGTATCTTTGATCTTTGTTGAGTGAATTATTACATCAGCTTCAATCATTCATTTGTATTTCATATAAGTTTGTACATGTTTCAAGTGGATGTGTAATGCCGTAACTTTTTCCTATTTGTTTTACATAATAAGCCGAAGGAACATTCTATGTAAATTTTCTTTCTCAAATCACTTGAAGAAGAGGTGGGTGATTTGCTCTCTTTTGTTTTGCCTTTCATGTAGTATACTTGTATATTTGTTTTGAGTGGTTAAAGAACTGTGGGAATCATTAAGTATAGATTACCTGGGTAATATGTATTTTTTCTTCCTAACTTTTAGGAGGAAGATGAACAACAAAGAATTAGTAAGAGAAAGGATCATAAAAAAACAAATGTTGAGGAAGAAGTAAAAATACCAGTAGTGTGTGCTTTAACTCATGAAGAATCTTCAGCCCAGTTATCAAATGAGGAGGTATAATGAATCTATAATTAAAATCATCGTATACACAGTGTTAACCATTTTTAGCTTCTCATATCATACATCAGTTAGTTACATTGTTCATATGGGAAGTGGGTAGTAGCTACTAGCTGAAAATTAGATAAAGTGATAATACTTTATTTTCAGCTGTTTTTACAGTACTATAGGTAGTACAATTTGAAACACATGGTTTCTCTCATGGTCTGCGAAACAATTAGATGTTCTTTTTTCTAGCGGTTCCAAAATTAAAACGTTAGAAGAAAATTTAAATAATATCTGCAAAATCTTTTTTGATATGAATAAATGTTTCTAATACTTTGAGCTTTTGTTTAAAAGAGATTTTATCTAAAGTATTGAAACACTTAATTCTCTGTGGCCTGTATTATCAAGTATTAGATCTTAAGCCCTGAGAAGAGTGTGTGGGGTTTGGCAGATTGTGATGGAGTAGGGTAGAACATTTCAGGTATTGGGAATGGGCAGAGTAGAGAGACCTGGAGGTGGAAAGTGTAAGATGGTGTTCCTGTGGCCTCATCGCCTCTCACCCACATGTGGCAAGGGCCTCCTCATTACATTGTCTGTCTTCAGCCTGTCCCATTCCACTGTACCCTCAGCATTACTGTCAGATTTATTTTTCTTAAGTGCAGCTATAGTCAGGCTACTCCCCTAGTCAGAACCACCACTCACTCCCATTACCTACATAATTAAGTGCAACTTCCTCACTCAGACAGTCAAGACCCTTCATAATATGCACTCTCTTTTAGCCACATTGCTCATCTTGTTGTGCTATACTCTCTGCCTTGCACATTGGTTCCTTTACCTGGAATGCTTGCCTCCCTCTGCCTTTCTGAGTTCTGGAATTCTTCTATTCATCCTTCAAGACTCAAGCTGATATCTCTTCAGGGAAGGAAATGCTTCTATTAATTGACTTCAGGGTAAAAACTAAGTTCCCCAGCTTGCCATACAAGCGCCTTTGGAGTTGAATTGACCCTTCCAGCCTTAGCATACTCTCCACTTCATCACAGCCAGACGTTTCTACTAGCTGTCCATGCTCATATGCATTGTTTATACTGTCCCTGCTGTTTAGAGATTCATACTTACTCCCCCACCACTACCTCCTTTCCCTGCCTGGTGAACCAGTTTCAGGTAAATTGGATAAGGGTCTTTTCTCACTTTCAGAGGTATTATGTTTCTGTTTAGTTGGCAGATATACGCTGAGCCATGTAAAATCTACTTGCTGGTGGCTCATATTTCCATGTTTATGGATTATTTGACATTGAAAAAATGCTTTAAAAAAATCCTAGTGGACACTGAAAAGTGTGATGTAATTGTTTTTGTACATTCTCTCTCTTGGCTCATACACTGAGAACCTTGCCCTGATTCTGCTTTGTCTTTTTTTTAAAATAGACTTCCAAGAGAATGTCTCAATTTTTGCGTACTGCCAAATATTATGTGGTTTCTGCATCATGCAGTCCTGTGTCCAGGAATGTTTGGCAAAGTTTCAAACTTAAAAAAAAAATATTTTAGCAGGAAAACAGGAAAAGGAAATTTGTTGTGATTTACAGTGAAGCACTTAAAATTTTTTAATAGTGTTTTAACAGATTTATACTGTATATTGTGCATAACATTTTCTGACATTGAAATATAGCCTTTCAGATCTGATGTTTTGCAGTTTGAATGTTGAATGTACTTGTTTTGTATTGAGAGGCAGTGACAGTTTACTTTAGCCTGTTGATTTAAAGTTAATATGGAATGCTTTGGAGACTTAGATATATTGCTAAAACCACTTAAAATTTGTAGGACCCTATATCTTCTTTAACCTAAATGCTAAGAATATGCTTTTCTCACCACAAAAGTAATATGTGTTCATTATGGAAAATTTGGAAAGTACAGAAAGTCATACAAAATAAAAATAACTGATAAATTCTACTAGCCAGAGATACCACCACTAACATTTTGGTATGTACCTCTCCTTTCCCTCTTTTTCCATTTCCAAAGGTAACATATGTGTGTTTCTATTTGTACTTTTAAAACATAATACAGATTGTAACTGTACATGATGTTTTGTGTACATTTTTCCCCCACTTAAATCTGTCTTTAAAGGTTTTGACACATCAGTGTTTTCCCCCACAGTGATATTTAATGACTAACAGTATTTCAGCATGTAAATGTACCATAATTCCTTAGTCTCCTACAAATTGATTTGTGCCCAGGTTTTAATTTATAAAGGTGACCGAGTGATGACAGGTTAATGCCATTGAACAAAAAGTTTAATGTTACAGTCCCTCTAGAAATGAGAGTCATGGTACACTGTGCAGAGGCACATGGAGAAGCACCAGAGTTGGTCATGAAGTAAAAGGAGGAGCAAGGGGAAAGCATGGACCACAGCCATTATTGGGAGTTTTGAGGGAAAGGTAGGGCAGGCTAAATAGCATAGGACTGGCTAGTTTGAATAAATCCAGTGGGCTTTGGGGCATAGAGTCTATCTTCAGTTTTCTGGTACCTGGCCCTGGGTTGATTTAGAGCAGGGGAAATACTGGCTTGGTGTGTAAGAGTTGGATAAAGGAGTTCGTTGGGAGTATCGACTTGAGATTGGTTGATTTAGATGTGAAAGATATTCATAGGTAAGTTGTTTATTATTTCTAGGAATTAGCTAGTTTGGAAGAGGCAGTCTCTCCTCAGCCAGCAAGGCCTTCAAAAGGTCAAAAACATCATAAAATATAGAAAATAAGCATGATTAACACACTAACAGATAGTCAGTTGTTTCATTTTTCACTAGTAAAAAAATTTTCATTATTATGAGTAATGCCATAATGCTATTATATATAATTCTTCTTTGTATAAAAGTCATGGACTTATCTGATTACTCCCTTAATGTAAGTTCTTGGGAAGAGAACTGCTGAGTTTAAGAGCATAAGCAAACATATTGTTGAATCATCTTTCAGAAACAGTGTAACAGTTTACATACCCCTACAAGTATATGTTCCTTATAAGTATTGTTATCAGCATGGTAGTCTGGTGTTTTTTAAATGGCCCTCACAACTTTCTTGCCCCTATCCCCTTCCTTCTTTGGTGTCACAGTAGCATTGTGTTAATATATGATAGCGTTAGATGTCGTGTTCCTTTATAAGCTAACAATGCTCTCTCTCCAATTTTTATTAGGGTGCTTATTTGGGACCTTTGCCGTAGCTAGCTCAGTATATACTAGATTTGTGTTCCTCAGCCATCGGAATTTCACAGATTAAAAAACCTTAAAAAAAAAACTTTAAAAAGAAATAAATGGAGGAATTAACATAAAAGTTGTCAACATTTTATTATACCAAGTAAGGATATTTTTAAAACATTGAAAAAAAATCTGTATTTTAGTCTTTTCCAGTTCATAAGAGGAAGGGCATTTAACAACAAAACGTAGAAAGGATAGTATCTTAAAATAAAAGCCAGTTCTTTAAATTGAATAAATTTAGTTTCAAGAAGAACTTGCTGCATTTTCCTTGCTTTCTGATTTTCCTACAAACTGTGCTAGAATGGTACTGGTGTGCTTTTTTGACTTTGGGAGTGTGCTGCACCACATTAAAAAGGAATTCACATAACAAAAAATTAACCATTTGAAATGTGCAATTCAATGGCCTTTAGTACATTTACAATGTTGTGCAACCATTACCTCTCTGCACTGTTTCAGAAGATTGTCATTGCCCCCAAAAGAGACCCCTTATATCACTGGAGTCACTCCCTACTCTCCTTTCCCTTTAACCTCTGGCAATCACTGATTTGTTTTTGGTCCCTGTGGATTTACCTATTCTGGATATTTCATAGAGATGGAATCGTACAGTGTGTGACCGTTTGCGTCTGGCTTCTTTCCCTTGATGCAGCCTTATTTAACATATTGATTACACCTTGCTTGAAACTTAGTTTCTAGCATACAACATTATCCTCATTTCCCTTCTATTCTGGGTACTCCTTCCTCTGTCCGTCCCCAAAATGGACAAAATTGATGTTTATCAGGGCCTTGCCCTTGGCTTTCTTCATATCCTACAGACTCATCCTAAGTGTTCTGATTTGCTGCCGTGGCTTTAATTATTACTGTATGGTGGTTACTCCCAAGTCTCTATCTAAAGATAGACTTCTTTGTCCCTCTATTGGGTGGACGTCTCTACTTGGATATACAGCAGGCCCCTTGTGTTCCATATACCCAATACTGAATTTCATGAGACCTTCCCTGATTCTTATGTCTGGGCTGAATTCCTCTCCTTGAGCTCCCAGAGCATTCAGTACATAGCTGTAGCCTGTCATTTTATTGAATATGATATTCTAATAGCCTGTTTACTTGGCTCACTTGTTTATTTTTTTCATGAAACTAAGCATTTTGAAGTCAGAGATTGTTCACATTTGTATCCTGAGTGCTTGGTTTAGTGCCCAGGATATAGAAGACACTCAATAAATGTTTGTTCAATGAATATATGAAGGCAGCACACTAAAGATTGTCATGTGTAACGTGTGGCAAAATACTTTATAAAATATGGTAGTTTTTCTCTTTGAAAATATCAGGAATTGTCTAACTGGCAATGTATTTTCACATTTCAGGAGCATTTAGATAGCACCCATGGTTCAGTCCATTCTTTAGATGCAGACTTACTGTTGCCATCCGGGGATCCATTCACTAAATCAGACAATGACATGTTTAAAGATGGACTCAGGAGAGCACAGTCTACAGACAGCTTGGGAACCTCAGGCTCACTGCAATCCAAAGCTTTAGGCTATAACTGCAAAGCAAAATCTGCTGGGAACCTGGACGAATCAGATTTTGGACCGTTGGTAGGAGCAGATTCGGTGACTGAGAACTTTGATACCGCCTCCCTTGGGTCACTGCAAATGCCAAGTGGGTTTATGTTAACCAAAGATCAGGAAAGAGCAATCAAGGCAATGACACCAGAACAAGAAGAAACGGCATCCCTCCTGTCTAGTGTCACACAGGGTATGGAAAGTGCTTATGTGTCTCCCAGTGGTTATCGCTTAGTCAGTGAGACAGAATGGAATCTCCTGCAGAAAGAGGTGAGTTATCTTCCTGGCTTCTCCTCTGCTCACTTTGAGGGATACTGGGTAGCTCTGGATTTATTGTTCATTCAAGAGATGGTCCCTGGAGTCAATGCTCACACTTGTTGCCAGCAAATGAGTGTTAACCCATATTGTCTGACCCTTATCATTGTCTGCTTTGGCTGTTCCTGGTGATTATGACAGAGAAGGGAACTCGCTAGCTGACTGTGTTCAGTGTGAACTTCTCCACCTGAAGTCACATCTCTTAAGTTGGAGCGATCTGCTTGAATAGCATAGCTAACTTTGTGTAGCCCGAATTTGGTTTCCTTGCAGTTTTCTATAATCTTAGTGTATTCCAAGATTCATATTCTTTCATCTTTCCTTGAGGTCTAAAGTACAAATGCTTTTCAGCAATTGATGCTTAGAATGAGTTTAAAGGAGGGGGTGGAAAAAGGTTAATTTTCCTCCTAATAATATTTGCAAACTCAGAAGTAAGATTAGGAGATAAAAACTTAAATATGTATTTGCATAGTGCTTTACAGATTACAAAGCCTTTTCACATACCTCTTCTCTTTGAGCTTCTTGATAATAATGAGACAATCAGGGCATGATTTTCTCCGACTTATAGAAGAGGAAACTGGCTCAGAAAGGTCAAATGAGTTGCTCAAGTTTCCCCTTCGACTTAGTAGCAAAACCTGGGTTAGGATACAGGTTTCATGACTTCCAGTGCTTTCTTTTACTCAGGGCTACTTCTCTTTAAAGAAGCTGTTGACTAGCAAGTGGTACAGCTCATTAAGCCTGAAAGAAACTGTTCTCCTTGGTCTCATGCAAAACGTTTGAGAAGGTGCTATTTAATTGTTTCATACCTCTTTTGTGCTTGGAGCTGGTGAAATGGTTAATTTGCACTCCACCCTTCCCCATCCCCTCCCTTGTTGGGTAGTATTGATTTAAATTGTGAGTGCCATGGTGTAGTACCTTTTGCTTTCCGTGTGTTTCCCTCAAATGCGCTGTTTTGTGGCCCTTAGCCTCTTGATGATAAAGTTGTGTCCCTTGTTTTCCTGTCATACTTATATTGGACTTACGATTTTTTTAGAATCCAGCTCTCTATTGTAACTACTTGCCATAAGTCCCTGAATAAATTGTTTACTCCATTTTCTACTTCGAGTAACATAGGTAAGACTGCACGTGTTCCTCAAGTATGTGATGTAGACTTGTTTTGTTCTGCCTGATAAGAGGTAATTTTGGTGCCCTTCAGGTACATAATGCTGGAAATAAACTTGGTAGACGTTGTGATATGTGTTCCAATTATGAAAAACAGTTACAAGGAATTCAGATTCAAGAGGCTGAAACAAGAGACCAGGTGAGTTTCTTTTGGGTTGTGTGAAATTGGTGAGCTGTTGTAGTTTTCATTGGAGGTGTTGAATTAATTGCCCTTCACCCCTCCCAATTTGCTTTATGAAGTATATTCATCTTGTTAAGTCTGAAATAATCTGGTACGTGCAATGTCAGTTACATTTCCAGTGGGAGCACGCTATAGAATTTTTGCTTTTGTGTGTCTTTGCTTCATTAGCTTGCCCAATACCACACAGGTCAGCTCAGCTGGCATATCTCCTCTCCCAACCTGTTCCTTCTGCCCAAGGCCTAGAAGTGTTATTGTGAGGAATGCATGCATACGGAAAGTGCTTTATGATACAGAGATTTAGGGAGATAAGGGGTTAGGTTGACTGTTGCTTCTAATTGGATAAAACTTAATTGGATATTACATTAATCAGTATTTGTACTCTTCATTGCTTATTGCCTAATTCTTGTCATAAATTTGTTGAAGTAAGTTTAATTTGCAGGGCCACAGAAATTAAGATTTGGTAGATTAGGTATGCTGAAACTGACAAGTACTTTTCCAAATACAGTGCCTAATAATGGGTTCCCTGATAACATTTAGGAAATGATGTAGAACTTCATGAGAGTAAACTTGTGAAAGGATATGTAAGGAAAAAATAACTTTTTTTTTGTATTTCCAAATTGTTCTTTGGTTATTATGGAGAGTGTTACCCTAGTCTTCAAAATAAGCTTAAGCAGGTTAGAATGATGGTTTAATATTTTCAAATGCCTTTGGCATTAATTTTCTTCATATATATATATATATTTTTAGATGGCTTAGAGGTAAATTTCTAAAGCTATTTGTGAAGCCTCTATATCAATAGTTGGTCTCTGATAGTGTGGTATAGGAATGGGGTATCTTGGATTCCATAGACAGTCGTGTCAATAGACATTTTACTCTTGCTTCATTCATCTGTGCAGGCACTTTGCTGGGCTCTGAGCATTCAGATACAGAGAGAACAACATACTGCCCATAGGGAGCTTTCAGTGTTGCAATCCAAGCCATCAGTTCAATATGGTTTGTTCCTGTACATGTACAAGTAGAACTAGAGGATGAGCAGAGGCATCTAAATTAACTATGGGCTGTTAACTAGGGAAGGTAACAGTTCAGCTAAGTTTGTTTTAGAGCTAGAGTAAAAATGAATTAGGAAAAGAAATGGAGAAACGGTGTTCAAGGAGAGGAAATGTGTACAAAGGAACAGTTATGAAGGAAAATTGTGTGTTCTAGGAAGTATGAATAGTTTATGTGGCTGGGCATAAGGGGGGGTTGTGTGTGAGAGAGAGAGAAAGAGAGAGTGGAGAGAGAGTGGGAGGAAAATAGTGGGAGAAGAAGCTACAAAGGGAAGGCCATGATGAGATCATGGAGGGAGGGCTGTGATGACTGAAGGGATTTAAATTTTACGCTGAAGACTTTGGGAGGCATTTAAGGATTTTAAGTAGGGAAATAATATGATTTGACTTTCATTTTAGAAATATTTATTGTGTTAGAGTGGATTATAGATTGGCAGCAGAAGATAGAGTCAGGGAGGCCAGTGCCCTAGCCTAGAAGACCCAGGTGGAAAAGCAGATATTTTCAAATGATAATGGATATGAAAAATGTTTTGTTAACTGTAAAGCACAGTATAGTTGTCGAATGAGGTAATTCATCTCAATTTTTTCCCAAATTGACAAATTTGTTTCTCAGGAAAAAAGATTAGGTTTTAAAAAATTTTCTGGAGGTAGGGATTTTTTTTTTTAAATTTATGAAAATTCTGGTACTTCCTTCTAATTGATGTTTAAAATTGCATAGGTGAAAAAGCTACAGGTGATGCTAAGGCAAGCAAATGACCAGTTAGAGAAGACAATGAGAGATAAACAGGAGCTGGAAGACTTCATAAAGCAAAGCACTGAAGATTCAAGTCACCAGGTAAGTGAGGGTCTTAGAATGTGGCCCCTGGGAGATGACTGAGTTGTTTAAATAAAAGCGTTTTGAAGACCTAGTAAGGTTTCTTTCTTGCCCTGAAGATCTGGCAGTTCTATTTTCCCTCAGATAAGAATATCTCAAACTGATCTTTCTCTGGTGTCTGTTTTACAGATTTAAGGAAAGTAACTTTTGAAATAACTCGTTAGTAAGTATCAGGAGGCTCTGGTTCTCTTTTCCCCTTTGATTTTTATTAGGTTTTTCTGCTGCACAAGAAACCTGCTGACAAGAAAGATGCTAGTTATCTTCTTTTTGACTTTTTGAAAAATACCATGCATAGGAAAAAATGTGACCGTATACAGATATACCAAACATATCTGAACTAACATCTGTGTAACCACCAAGATCGAGTAATAGAAAATTAGCTAGTACCCCAGAAGCCCTCACTTTCCCCCTCCACTTACTACTTCCTCCCTAGAGGTAACTACAGTCCTAACGTCTAACACCATTAGATTAGCTTTGTCTGTTTTCTTATTTTAACAAATGAATCATATACTCCGTATTCATGAATGACACAATCATTCATTGTGTTTGTCTTCCTCCATTCAACATTGTGAGGTTCCTACTCACAAATGTGAGTGGTAGTTGTTATTTTCATTGTTGTATACTCGTACCATTGTATGGATATATTATAATTTATCCATCTTAATGTTATGAGCATTTGGGTTGTTTCCAGTTGTGGGATATTATGAATAATTCTACTTTGAAATTTCTGTATAGGGCTTGTTGTACATGTTGCTGCTGGGTATGTGCTTAGGAGTGGAATGCCTGGGTCAAAATGTTCAAACTGTATGTCAACTTTTGGAGATAATAGTGCCAGAAAGTGGTTGTATGAATTTATACTCTCCCCAGCAATGTATGAGAAGAATTCCTGTGGGTCCACAGTCTCCACAGACTTCATTTTGTGTTATTTTAATTATAGCCATTTTGGTGGGTGTGTAATGGCATTTCATGGTGGCTTAGTTTGCATTTCTCTTATGACCATTGAGGTTATTTAGCATTTTTCATGTCTGTTAGCCATTGGGATATCATTGTGTGCGTGTGTGTGTGTGTGTGTGTGTGTGTGTTTGAAATTACTTCTCAAGTCTTATGCTTGATATTTTATTGGGTTGTCTTTTTTTTTTTTCCACTTATTTTTCTGATAGGAGTTCTTTATATAATCTTATTAGAGCCTTTTGGTGATGTGTCCCAAATGTCTTCTACTTAGTACCTTAGATTTTCATTATTTTAATGGTGTCTTTTGATGAATAGAAGTTCTTAAATTTAATGTAGTCAGATTTATTGATCTTTTCTTTATGATGAGTGATTTTTATCCTGGTTTTTAGAAGAATATTTTCTTACCCTGGGGTTATATGAAGATATTTTCATGTATTTTGTAGAAGCTTCATTGTTTATAGCCACTCACATTTATATCTAAAATCCATCTAGAACTGACTTTTATGTATCAGCTGTAGGTATGGGTAAATTTTTATTTTATTTTTTCATATGGAGAGTCAGTTCCTGTACCATTTAGTGAAAAGATCACCTTTTTCTCACTGCTCTGCAAGATCATCTTTGTTAACTATCAAGTGAATGTACATGTGTGGGTCAGTTTGAGGACTCTGTTTTATTTGATTAGTCTATTTGCCTATTTTTGTGCCAGATTCTGTGCTGTAATTTATAGTAAATTTTTCATTTGTTTCTTTAAATGAAACATAAAGTTAGAAACTTTACAGTTCAGAAACATATAGTTTCTAAAAACTATAAAAGTTTTTCTCTGCTGAGAACTATGTTTTCATTCGTTTCAACAGTATTTACCTTTATACCAGGCAGCATAGTTACAGTAGCTACTTTAAAGTCTTTGATAAGTCCAACCTAGGTCATCATGGGGTTGGCATGTGTTGATTTTCTTTCCTCTTGAGAATTGGCCACATTTTCCTGATTCTTTCTATGTCAGGTACTTTTAGATTGATCTTGGAGATTATGAATATTTTATTGTGAGACACTCAGTTCTGTTAACCTGATTAGGTTCGTTCATAAGTTCTGTCTTGCCTTCTGTAGTAGGTAGTTCTAATGTCAGTTCATTTTTAAAAGCCTTTGCAGTGCTCCTTTGGATGTGTCCATGTATGTATATAGCTCAGGGGTCAGTGTGAGACTTGTGCTGGTTCATGCACAGAATTAGGGGATCCTTTTTCTAGCTCTTTTCTCTCAGTACCACTCTACTCGTCAGCTCACGGGGACCCTGTCCTGGCCCTGTGATCAGAAAAACAGTTTGTCCTGTGCTGCTGCATCTGTTGTGGCTTCACAACTGGGGCAGCTCTCAGATTCATGCTGGCAGAAAATAGGAAAAAAAACCCAAATAAGCAGTAAACTGCAGTATGAATTGTTTCTTCCCGTTTTGATTTCCCTCCCTAAACTGTCTGCTTTTGCTTATGTTTTAGAGTCCTCAGGTAGTTGCTTTTTTAATTTTTTCCAGAGTTTTTAGTTGTAATAAGGGGAGAGAATGGCCTTGGTGGGCTTAGTCCATCTTGGACAGTGCCAAAAGTCTCCATTCTCTCATATTTTTGTTTATTAGACAGATCTTTTTCTTTCCACCTTCATTCAAGAAGGATACTCTGTGGTCAGGTATAGAATTCTGAGTATTTATGATATTTTCTTTCAGCACTTTGAAGTTCTTATTCCACTGCTTCTGGCTTCCATGTTTCTGCTAAGAAGTCAGCTGTAAGTCTTATTGTTGTTCCTTTGAAGGTGAAATGTTATTTTTTCCATGGCTGTTGTAAAGATGTTCGTTTTGGCTTTTGTTATTAACAGTTTTACTATGCTATATACCTAGGTGCGTCTTTCTTCATATTTCTGCTGTTTGGAGTTCACAGGGTTTCTTGGATCTCTGAGTTAATGTCTTATATCGTGATTGGAATATTCTCAGCCATATGTCTCTTTAAAAATTTGTTTTTATTGAGATAAACAAGTGCATAAATCTCAAGTGTACAATTTGGTGAATTTTAATGTGTGAAAAATTTTACTAGGGTAATAAATCATCATCTGCATCAAGATACTGAACATTTCTAATACGCTCATGTTCTTTACTAATAAGTAAATTCCCCACCTGCCTATTCTTAGAGGTAGCCAGTATTCTAACTTTTAACACTATGTTTTAGAATTGCTTGTTGCTGGACTTCATATAAATGGAATCATATAGTATGTAGCCTTTTGCATCTGGTCTGTTGGGTCATTATGTCTGTGAGACTTATCCATATTGTTCTGTGTCTCAGTAGTTAGATTTTAATGCTGTGTATATTCTATAACATGAGTATACCATAATTCATTTATCCATTCTACAGTTGAGAGAGATTTGGATTGTGTCTGGTTTTGGGCTATTGTGAATGAATACATTTTTTAACATTCTTGTACATGTCTTTTAGTGGACATGTGGACTTATTTCTCTCGAGTATACATAGTAGTGAAATTACGGAATTTTTGAGTTTTTGCACAGGTATATTTTTAGCTCTACCAGCTATTTCCATTGGCTGTTACTTCTTCAAATATTTGTATATGTTATGTTCGCATTGCATCTACATGGCTTCTTTAATCTCTCTTCTGTATTTCCCATCATTTTTGTCTTTGTTTATTATCTTCATATCACTAATTTTCTCTTCAGATAGGTCTAATCTGTTAAACTCATCCATTGTATTTTTAATTTGGATAATTGATTTTTTTAGTTTATTTCCATTTGGTTATTTTTCATCGTTTCCATTTATCTGGTGGTTCTAAATTTCTTAACAGATCAAATACAGTTATTTTAAAGTCTGTTTCTAATAACATCTGGATTCATTGTAGCTCTGTTTTTGTTATCTGTTTTGTTTTTTATCATTTCCTTTTGTTTTTTATCATAGTCTTTTATTTATTTTTAATTAATTTTTGGCTGTGTTGGGTCTTTGTTGCTGGGCACGGGCTTTCTCTAGTTGCAGCAGGTGGGGGCTACTCTTCATTGTGGTGCGCAGGCTTCTCATTGCGGTGGCTTCTTGTTGTGGAGCATGGGCTACAGTAGTGTGGCTTGCAGGCTCTAGAGCGCACGCTCAGTAATTGTGGCACATGAGCTTAGTTGCTTTGCGGCATGTGGGACCTTCCCAGACCAGGGCTCAAACCTGTGTCCCCTGCATTGGCAGGTGGCTTCTTAAACGCTGCGCCACCAGGGAAGTCCCTATCATAGTCTTTCCTTGTGCATCCTTAACTTGAGGTACTAGACATTATATGTGAAAATTGTTGAAATAAAGCCATTTTTCTTACTAGAGGCAGACAACTAGTTGTACTAACAATCCTGGATCACCTTAATTCACTTATGGGAATTGAGATTATATGAAGTTGTGAAGGTTGGATTACTTTAAATTCTTCCCTTACTATAGGGTGTGTCCCTTTGGAGACCCAGTCCAAAGTGCAGGGTGTTTACCAGGGATCCCTTTGTGTATTGGGTCTTGGACTCTTAACTTTTGCCACCCTGTGCTGGGGCTTTCAGACGCTCTGCTCAGCTTCTCAGTGCTGCCTCTGTTTCTTTTGGAGTTGGCCCATGCTTCTGGAGAAGAGCTGTTCCAGATGCTGCACCCAGTTCTCCATGTGTCTTCATTCTGGTCCTTGGCTCTGTGATTCTTTTTTGCCTTGTTCTCCCATGCCTTCATGTAGGTGTCTTTCATATTTTTGTCTGGTTTTCTTAATTAGCAGGAAGGTTGGTTCACATCACCTATTCTGCCACTACTGGAAACAAAATTCTGACAATAATCATTTTTTAAATGTCTAAACAAATTTATTTTGATTTATTTTATAACTCTTATGTATGAGTCATCAACTTTCACATAAACCCCTCGTCAGGAACACTAAAACTAATTCAAGAGAGTTTTATCATGTGTCTTTTGCTCTTAAGTAAACCACCTTAGAATACTGCAGCTAGTTCAGGGAAGATTTATTTATCCTTTAAACTGTTTGGGGTTTTTTTGTGGACAGAGTTTCAAAATTTTTATTGATTTTTAATTAGCTCCTTTAAGAATAATATTTATAACTGTGTCACATGGATTAATATCTATGTCTAGAGATGCATATAATGCTTTTGTTCATGTATGGCAGCGTATGACCCCTGGGGACTTTTGGTACTGCCTTGTGTCATCTGAAAGGCTGAGGCTTTGTACACAGTAGATGCACACATATCTGTTGAATGATAGATGAGTGGGGTTTGATGAACTAGTAAAAAAATCAGTTCCGGACATTAAATAAGCAGGAGATGGAAGAGTTAGTTTCAGAATAATCAGATTCCTAACTAAATTTTCTGCGTATGAATTTTTTTTTTCTTTCAAGATCTCTGCACTTGTCCTAAGAGCCCAAGCATCTGAGATCTTACTTGAAGAGTTACAACAGGGGTTTTCCCAGGCAAAGAGGGATGTTCAGGAACAGATGGTAAGTTAACATTTAAATAAACATTAACTATGTTATTCTGTCTTGAAATAATCTTTGATGTGACTTTATCTTCCTGGCCAAAGTGGTTACCATTATGTTCTCCAGAGCCTATAGAACGTTAGTAATGGACAAGATTATGTAAAGACATTATTCTTTTTTTAAACCTACCTCGTGACCAAAAAAATTATCACCTTTAACTTATTTTTCTTTGATTTGAGAAACCTAAATAAAATAAACTATGGACCAGCATTTAATTTTTAGCTCTAAATACAAGCTAAAAGTTGAAATCTCTCAAAGCCCTAGGAGGTACAGCTTTTGAGCAGTCACTGTGCTTTTCCTGGACAGCTAATATATTTTAAACAACCTCAGTAATTTCATAGGGTTTACGATACAACATGTACCACAACTGCTGTGGCACTGGAAAACTTCCAGAAGGCTGTCAATTTTGAGAGGAATAGGAACAGAGAGCTTCTTAAAGAAGAGCTGCCTTGAACCTCTGCAGAATTGTTCTCCAGCTTTGGGCCTCTTCCTGAGCAGTCAGGCTCCACTTGCCTTGCTCTGCCTTTTTCTCCAGGTTGGAACCCTGCATCTGCTGGCCCTTCGTAAACTATAGCAGAGTTGGTCCTGCTGGGGTGATCCTACAGAATTGCCTCTTGTCCAGCTCTTGCAGGGTTGACAGAAAAACAAACAAACTCCAAGTTGTATGGTAATGGTTTGTTTTTGATTGGCATTGGGTCAGTATCTGAATGGCCTTTGAGCTGATCCCTAAATACTAGCCCTGGTCTATTGAGAAACATCTCACTCTAATCAATGACCAGAGAGAGTTTCATATCTTTTCATTAATTAGAGAATATGAAATAATAATTGTTGATCTCAAGGACACTGTTAAATGCTGACAAAGTTTCATAGTGTTTAGCCTCCTCACACTCCCCTGTCCCCTCTCATCTTCCTTCTCATCTTTTAAAACTCACCTGCTTTTGCAAACATTTTTCAAGTTGATTCCACTTAAAGTGAACATATTGCAGGTGACATTGAAGAATTGTTGAAATTAAGGTTGAGATCTTGTGAACTTTAATATCTTACCATTTTCTTGAAATTACCTTTAAATGTTCTTACACTGAGAAAGATAAACTCAATTTCTTATGCCCCTTCAAAGAAGAGTAGCTATGGTAGTGGTTGGGATCTTAATATTTCCCCCGAACTATTTATTTTGAAAAATTTCAAACTTAGAGTTGTTTATGGAGTGAACATTCATAAAATCTTCACTTAGGTTTACCAGTCAATATTTTGCCACATTTTTACTGCTTGCAATTGTTTCTCAGTCTCTCTCTTTCATATATGTGTATGTTATATTACATACGTATTTGTTTATTTTTCTGAGCCATTTGGAAATAAGTTGTAGACATCATGACACTCCTAAATATTTCAGTGTGTATGTCCTAACAACAAAGAAGTTTTTCTGCATAATCACAATACTGTTATTATATGCTTAAAATGTAACCATTGACCCTGAAAGTCCTTAATTGTTTTTTTTTTAAATCTTTTTTTTTTTTTTTTTTTTGGGGGTTTGTGGCCCTCTCACTGCTGTGGCCCCTCCCGTTGTGGAGCACAGGCTCCGGACGCGCAGGCTCAGCAGCCAT